GATCAGGCCCAGTCGGCATGGGTTGATGAAAGGCAGGCCCTGCTTGACTAACCTGGTCACCTTCTATGACAAGGTGACCTGCTCAGTGGATGAGCAAAAGGCTGTGGATGTTGTCTACCTGGACTTCAGTAAAGCCTTTGACACTGTTTCTCACAGCATTCTCTTGGAGACGCTGGCTGGTCATGGCATGTGGTGCTTGCTGGGTAAAAAACTGGTTGGATGGCTGAGCCCAAAGAGTGGTGGTGAATGGAGTTAAATCCAGTTGGTCACAAGTGGTGTTCCCCAGAGCTCAGAACTGGGGCCAGTTCTGTTTAACATCTTTATCAATTATCTGGATGAGGGGATCGAGTGCACCCTCAGTAAAGTTTGCAGATGACACCAAGCTGGGTGGGAGCATCGACCTGCTGGAAGGTAAGAAGGTTCTGCAGAGGGATCTGGACAGGCTGGGTAGATGGGCTGTGGCCAATGGTATGAGGTTCAACAAGGCAAAGTGCCAGGTCCTTAAATTGGGTCACAACAACTCATGCAACGCTACAGGCTTGGGGAAGAGTGGCTGGAAAGGTGCTCAGCGGAAAAGGACCAGGGAACGTTGGTCAAGAACTGGCTGAACATAAGTAGCTTGTGCCCAGGCAGCCAAGAAGGCCAACAGTATCCTGGCCTTTATCAGCAATAGCATAGCCAGCAGGACTAAGGCAGTGACTGTGCCCCTGCACTGGGCACTGGTGAGGCTGCACCTCAAATCCTGTGTTCAGCTCTGGGTCCCTCACTGCAAGAGAGACATTGAGGTGCTGGAGCAGGGCCAGAGAAGGGCAACGGAGCTGGTGCAGGGCCTGGAGCACAAGTGTGATGGGGAACGGCTGAGGGACCTGGGGGGCTCAGTCTGGAGAAGAGAAGGCTCAGGGGGGACCTCATCGCTCCCTACAACTGCCTGACAGGAGGATGGAGCCAGGAGGGGGTCGGTCACTTCTCCCAAGTAACAAGGGATGGGACAAGAGGAAATGGCCTTAAGTTGTGCCACGGGAGGTTTAGGTTGGATATTGTGTTTTCACCACAAAGGTTGTCAAGCCCTGAACAGGCTGCTCAGGGCAGTGGTGGAGTCACCATCCCTGGAGGTATTTAGAAGATGTGTAGATGTGGTGTTTGGGGACATGTTTTAGTGGTGGTGTTGACAGTGCTGGGTTAACTGTTGAGCTTGAGGATCTTAAAGATCTTTTTCCAACCTAAACAATTCTATGATTCTATGTGTTTATGTAAATCCAATTTTATGCATCATTTTCCAGCAGGCAGAAAATGAATCATCAATACCCAAGGAGGCTGATTATGCCAATGAAATATTGATATCTGACAATACTAGTCACAAGAAGTTATCAGGATATTTCCCAATACTGACGTCATGAAGCAAGGAAGATAGCTTAGAATATACAGGTGGGTAATTCTTATCAATGGCCACCAAAAGTCCTGTAACTGCTCATCAACAACAAAGCTTACTATCATACCAAGACACAGCTCAACAAAACATCTGTTTCTGAAAGCACTTTATTTCCCCCTGTTTTCTGCAATATTCTTGTCCAAATTCCACCCAGCATCCACAAAGAATAAAACTTTCAGTATATTCTGTTTGTCTTTGTTGCCTGTGTAGGCCTTAACACAGGAATATAGGAAATCCAAGCTTGGAAAGGAATAGGTGTTTTCTTGGTTTGAAAGCACATCATCCTAATAGAAATATGACAAAATCTAAATGTTCCACAGTACTTTCCCATATTGCCTGTAAAATTTTAGCAGAATCATCATAGGACAGACAAAGGTTATACTACATCTGTGTTCTGCTTTGTAGCTGCACCATTAACTCCACCTCAAACCAAAGCTGAGCAATACTACTTGGAGCAAAAAAACACATGGAGTTGTCCATAACCTTGCCAAACTTAAGAGGCACTGGGTTTCAACATCCTGTATTTTGGGAAAATAAATTAAAAATGGCCCAGTCATTTCTAAGAAACAGGTTAATGATTTGAGATAGCACACGAAATTATGAGTTGTCAAATCTGGGCATCTCTGAGATAGAGTTCTGGTCTAGCTTGCAGTGAGAGGATTGTCCCATTTTGAACAGTTTTATGGTGGCTTGTATACAATGTATGTGACAACAAGGTCATGAAACCAAAACCAGAGTTCTGATTTCCCCACGAACGTGGCAAGGGAACACAGGACAGATTCGCCAACCCCTATATATCCCTGGGAAAGCTCCCAGAGGGACTGTCAGCAATAAATTAACTGTGAAGCAGACACGGACAGCTGCCTCTTCACCTCCTTTCCTACCAGCTCCAGCACAGACACTGGTACCTGTGCTTGTCCATATCTTTGACAGAATAAATGAGGTGCAATATTTATTCTTTAACTTGGCCTGCTAACAAGCATGTACCAGACGGCAAACATAAATAGGGAGGCTTGGTCTACCCCCAAAAGCCTTCCTCTTGAGAAGCTGAGGGGCTGTAATGTGGATTTTCCACAAGGAGTGTTCTAAAGGCTGGTAATGAAAATGCCATCCATGCAACAAAAAAATCCCCGTAGGGAAACGCCAGTTAGTGCCCACTTAGCAGGCAATGAGCCAGGGAGAAGGGCATATGCCTTTGAGATTTGTTGTGCCCATGATACTGATCTAGGATTAGCAGCCCTAGGATAGGATTATTGGCCCTAATTTTATCCTTCCCCCCCCCCCCCCCCTTTTAAAGCTAAATGCTGCTTCCTGAAAGCTGCTTGATCAGAGCCCCTTCTACTTCATATCAAACCCCAGTTTAAAATGTAGGAAACTGCTGTCTCGTTTAGGAGAAATACACAAAAATGAGAAGCTAAAAACCCTATGTGGAATCTAATAATAAATAGGGCAGAGATGTAAGCAAATAGATACCACATGCTGTGTGATGGTTCACAGCTATTGTATCAACAAGTTAGTGTTACCTTGGAAACAAGAGATTATCCATGCATGCCTCCTCCTAGACTGAAACCAGGAAAGGAGGCATGCAGAACTGGTTTTGAGTCTTCTGGACTTCTCAGAGTTGCCACCCAACTGTTGATGCCAATTGATCCCAATCCCAACTACTGATGAAAATTCAAAGACAGTGCAGAGGTTGCACCATCCTTAATGCAACATCCACATCGATGAAGGTGAGTACTTGGTCGATTTGTCCTTTCCACCTTGGGATAACACAACCCTTTTCCAAGAAAGCCCAGAAAGGTTGTTCCCTGAAATACTCCATGCAGAACACAGAACAACATTGCCTTGTCTGATTTGCAGCAGCAAGGAGGGCTAACAGCAACAGCTTGGTATAACATCAACTGACTTGAATGAAATAAGTTTCAGCTAATGTGTAGTACCCCATAGCTGAGGCTGATTAAGAGCATGCACACACATGAGGTTCACCACCCAGGCTCTCTACGTGAGTGGGAGTTTGCTACAGTGCTATCACTTGATTGCACTCAAGCCTGTGTCCATTTTAGACTAAAACAAGGATTTTGAGTTTTTTTCCTGTTTTTTTCTTACTATGAATAGTAAAAAAGATTGATCCTGCTCCCTGGCTGACTCAGTTCAATGCAGCTGTACACAGGATGTCTTTGGTCTACATCATTACACGAGGCACAGCTGTTTGTCAGAGCTTGGGAGTGCTCAGAGCTGCCACCCTGAACACCGAGGATGGGTTCCTGGCTGCTGACTTCAGCCAGGCATCTCATCCCAGTGGACATCAGTGAAGCTGTGTCCCTTGGGAATAGCTAAATGCCTGGCCCTTGGAAAATCAGTTCGCTGTGTTTACAAATACAACTAGACCAGAAAGGGTAATTCCCTGGTGAGTGTTGGATTGTGAGCATGTAGAAATTCATATTAATATATATTCAGTGTCTCCTATGACCACAGACCTACATTTCAGATAAGCCATTGATCTGGATGTAAGAAATTTAAAAAAATGGGGGTTACACTACATTAAACAACTTAATATGTGTGAATAATAATGATTTTTTTTTTTTTTTCTAAAGAAATTAAACAAAAATAAGGATTTGTTAATCAACTGATTGTGGAATTGGTACTTCCTACAACCCAGCTGGTTTGATGGAACTTGTACCATACTGATATTCCTGTGCAAGTCCTTTTACAGCACTCTGGCCTGAAATGTAGGCCTACAAAACCAGGGCACTATTCTTCCAACACAGCCAGCAGAACAGCTTCTGATGACATCTCCATGCCTGGGTATTACTAACAACAGACTGGCATAGTCTCCCAAGGTCTTCACGTGGGGTATTTAACCTCAGAGCTGCCTCTCTCAGATGCTCCTGGCTTCCTTACGGCACATCTGGTTCTTCCCAGCTGTGATTTATCCCTCTGCCCTGCCTGTCTACTCTACTCTTGTCTGAGGCGCCCTCATAACTGAAAGAGAAACTAGAGCTAGAGATCTTATTTCAGAAGGGGGGGGGGGGGGGGGGAGAGAAGCACTATGAGTATTTGCCTATCCCCCCTCCCTGCCAGCTAGATGAGACCAGGTGAGCCATGAACCTGGTCTCAGGTTCAGAGGGGGAAAACAGGGGAGAAGATGGGCTCTGGTGAGAGAGAGATGTCAAGAACAATGGTATGACAATGAGGCAAGAATGACGCTTTCTTGCAAATCCAGCACCCATGTACCCATGCACATGGTGGCATCTTGGGTCACCTCTTGCTCAGTACAGAGCGGTATCTGTTGAGTCAGAGAACTGGCAACTGCATATGTACAGAGCCAGTTCTGATCCCTTTGCTTTTTCACTCTGATCTGATCTGGGTGAGACTATTCACAAAAAACATTAATTCCCAATTTCACAACAACACACCCCTGGAGATTCATTTCTAATCACCTACCAGGGATTATTCAGACAGTTGCACACAAATACCTGCCATGTATTCCATCTTTTGGGTTAAAGAACAAAACCAGAACAAGAAGATTTGGCGATTTTGACACAAAAACTTCATTAGGCTCAGTACTTACAATTGCATGACCAGATATAAATGGTTTGGACTTTCATAGATGTCTTCCAGGGCAACTATATTTTCATGCTTGATCCTGAAAAAAACACAAGATAAGGTAAGGTGAAATAATGATTTTTATTTTGTTAAGTGGCTGTAAAACTAAAAGCTATTTTTAGTTAGACACTACTTGTCAGTGCTTTATCCAACATCATAAAATATGATTTTGACCAAAGTAGATAGTGCTTCACAGTCCAGAATGCTGTTATTACACACAGAAAATTCCTTCAGTCCTCTCTGAAGCCAAAATGTTTAAGGGTTAAGTATCTGGGGCATTAAAGGTTTACAGCTCCTCTGTCACATGAATGAAGATGGTGGTTGGAGGTTGAAATCTCAGCAGCAATTGAGGGTGCTAGGGAGTGACAGGGTCAGGGTGCTGGCTGGCAGGGAGAAGGCAGGGATTTGCCCCCATGCAGAAGCTGGCAAAGGGAGGCAGCAGCCATACAACAGCCCCACACTCCTTCACCCTGCTCCAATGTCACTGTTGGTCTGGACGCCTGAATTTCCCTTGAGCAGTGAGGGAATTTGCAGCACTATTAAACACCATGCACTTCCTTTGCAATGGCCCCAAGCCATCACCATTCCCCCCGATCATTTTCACCAAGCCTCTTGTCAAAATGCTAGCTCTGAAGAGAAAGATCATCTCTACAAGCATACATCTAATTGACTACTAGAGCAATGCCTCTCTGGGTTTGCTCCTTAGATGCTTACAAATAATTTTCAATGGATGCGCTTAACTTATGTAAACCCTAAAGAGATGACCAGTACAACTCCAGGGGCAGAATATTAATTACACCAATTGCAGACAATCATTTCAAGAGTGAGAGAAAGCTGGGAAGTGCTAAGCAAAGACCACTCATTAAACAACAGATGGACATGTTCAGAAAGAAAGTAAAAGTGCATTGTCAGCAAATGCAAAACTCTACATGTTTCAAGGTTCGAGTAGCTTAATTAAGATCCTCAATCATGTGTCATGACCTCATCCTTAATTGTTCCAAGTGCCGTCAAGTCTATGTGATTCGAAGAGCAGAAGGTCCCCTGTGCCTGGCAGGATCTTTCCTGTAAGAATGCAGACTAATCCAATTTCCTCTGAATTCACTGGAAAGCTTATGACTGACCTGAATTAACACCCATAATCACCCATCAAAGGCTGCATTCATATAAGGACCTTCACATACAGGAAATTTAACATCAAGTGATCTCAAATATAATGCACTACAGGATGTCAAAGCAACAAATACCTGAGTACGCTCCTCACTCTACATAAATACCAGGAAAACTCTGTGATATTTTAGCAAAATTTCCAGGTAGACTGCATCATAAATTAAGTTCTTATTATTGACAACAGGAAATCAATACATTTCCCACTTGGCTTTACACAGCACATGCTTAAAAACATTCATTTCGTTGTGCAGATTTAGTGCCTGATCCCTTAAGGGTTACAGTTAGGACAAGGGCAGTTTTGCCTTGCTTAAGTTAGTTGAATGGACACTGCAAATCACATATCAATCCATTAGTCACTTTTAATGAAAAATTGTATGTATTTAACCATTTTCCTTTATGCACATTCATTTGTGCACCTCCTACCATCATGATCAAGGCAATTTTAATACAAATAATCTGCCACAGTGTTATCTGTTTAAGCCTCCAACTTAGCCTGTGGTGTGGTTTTCACCATGCACATATTAATGCTTTGCATTTCTACCTCCGAGAACCTCAGAGGTTCTCCAAACTAACTTAACTCCCTCTGAAACAGCTGCCAGGAACACCTAACTGTCACACACATGGCTACTGGGGGTGTTACCCACAAAGACAAGCAGCCAGGGGGGCAGAGGCCAGAAAAGAGCTTATCAGACATGCAATGCTGTGCTGAGAGTTGCCACAAGACCCTCACCCCTTCCTGATTTGCAAACCAAATGGGAACTTCGCCACTGTGCTCTCTGAAGGGCAGTAAACTCGCTCAGTTTTAAAGTGAAAGGGGGAGAAAAGGTTTAGTCCTACCACTGTGGGGTCTTCTGTATTGAGCCAATCTGATTTGAAAACAGACGGATACAGGATGTGAGCACGTGGGCTTCAGGGAGACAGCCAATATTAAGTGTAATCTGGAAGAAGACAGCAGAAGAAGAGGAATCACCCCTAAAGCAAAAAGGGAACAATCCCCCATAGGGATGAGGATATTTGGAAGATGATGTGTCCCTTTGGGTGATGTGTCCTGGTGAAGTCCCCATCGCACACCCACAAACAAAGTGTCCCGCATAGCATTTCTCTACTGAGATGGACTATCAAATGACAAGCTATTTAAAGGAAAATGGAATTCAAGATAAAACTAAAAATAATAGGAATCGGTTGGGGAGAAACCTGTGGTTTTAGATCAAGATGTGGGTTGTGGTGCTGACGTTGGACCAGAGCAGCTATGGGCTTCCCAGCAGAGGTCACTGCAGCCAGCAGGAACCGCTCCGCTGCCAAACGCGTGTGCTCCTTTCTTCACTTCATAGCATGGTCACTCACCTACAGTCCTAATACATAATAACGGACCCTTCAAGGCTGAATGCTGTTCATTACAATAACACCCCCCGGTTCAGGAAATCACGTGTGGTATTGACACAACATTTATCAATACCACAAAGGCCAGGAGGGGAATGGGACAAGTTTGCCCCTCTCTCCTGCAAGCAGATTGGCAGTGCCAAGCAGGCTGGTACAGCCTAACAGACACTTCTGGCTTGCACAGATGCTCGGGTACATCGAGAGTTGAGGAAATGGTCACGGATCAGGAGGGATTTGGGAATGGCTTAATTAAGTCCACTTTTATCCCCCTCTAGAAACATCAAGTGAATCTCAAAGGTTCAGAGGATTCGTTCTGCTAAGCCTCCAAATGCCTCCACTCGGCCTCACCGGTGATCTTGCTTAGCAGAAATACTCACTGGACTATCTGATCTCCTCAAGACCTGCTGGGGTTTACGTTTTTAGAAGGTGCTGCTCTCATTTCACAACAGGGAAAGCAGCATGCAGAAAAGCTAGATGTCCATCTGTAATAACATGGGGGGGGGACAGAGGGAGCCAAGAAACCAGATCTCCTAACCCCAGAGTATGATCAAAACATGGGCTTGGTTAAAGCAAATTAAATCAAGTTATGCAAATTGTTATGAACAAGGAAACATCCAAATAAGGAAATCTCCCTGACCACTCTTCTAATCACCCCTTCCTCATGTTTGCTGTTTTCCCTGATGTCCTCCCTCCTTCCTGACAAACCCCAGGGGCTGCTCACATCTCCCATACACTGATGTGTCCCCAAAAATTCCCCCATCTGTGACATGGTGCCACCTCCAACCACTGCAGCTTTGTTTGTTTTCAGGAACATTCTGAGGCCATTTGACAGATATAGGACGTTTAGAAATAAATATACAAATAAAGAGAGGCTGATACTTCAACCAGTTTGCTAAGGACTCTTCACCCTACCAGGCCCATGAGATGCTGTAATCCAAGGGACAAAGCAGAGGAAAATATATCTAGAAGTGAGACTCAGGGAAATTTAAATATGCAAAAAATTATGAAGAGTGATTAGTCTTGGTAAGAAACTATGAAAAGAAATGATGGATTCACCATTTTCAGAGCAGCACTGGTTTTATGCAGGCAGACACAAGCCACAAGGTTTGATGCAACGATGCAAAATTACCAAGTCTCCCCTTCAGCCTTCCAGGTCTATCATTCTGCCCATGAGCTGTTACAAAGGGGTCAACAACACAAATGAACAAAGGCAATGTTGCACCTAAGCAATATTTTAACATACGAGCATTTCTAGCCAAGAATTAAAGGAGCAAACTGAACTGAGCAACTGATTTGAAGTGACTTTTCCAAGCACAGCAGCTGTGCAAACAAGGGCTGACAGGAGAGCATTTGATCTGTTTCAGAGCCAAGCATAGACTGGTCGCCTTTGCTTGCTGTACAGTTGCTGCACAAGAGCGTTGATAGGAGAATTGTCATTTTAACCTCCTTGCTGCAGCATTCAGTGCTGCTGAAACACAGAAACGTTTGCCTCTGAAGAATCTGAAACTCATCCCTGAAACAAGACCCAACTTGACCAAGAGTGGCACTTGCCCTGCATGACAGTTTCCATCATGTCAAACTGGGTGTGCTGTGGTGCTGGAGTAGTGAGGAGTACATGGCGTGGCTCTCCAGTGATGCTAAATCCACCCTCACCACTGGCCTTCACAGAGCTGACACATCCTACTTACTGCCACCAGAAGAGCACAAGCCCTATAGGTCCAGAACTAGCCCTAATGGGCAAAACTCACTTCAATATTCTTAAAATTACAGAGATAAATAGATAAATAAATAAATAAAATTAATATTTTCCATGGGCTTTGGCTTCAGATTGCTTTTACAAAGCAAAGGATTCAAGTTGACATACAATAAGGGAAACTAAATCCTTTAATGACTGAGCTCCCTGCACATCTCTGTTGGCTCCTGACCCTCCCAAAGGCCAGGAGCTGAAAGTAAACTCATTGCATATTGCCATGGATCATTTATTAGAGGGGTAGCATTCTGCAAAGATAAAAGCTGAGGACCAGATTTTGCTATTGCTTTGGCTGCTGAGCTGCCAGGAGAGCATGTTAAGTACCCCAGCTGCAAAGGCATGCTATAAACTACGATTGAATCACTTATATTAACATCTATCGTATTTAATGCTGAAAACTAGAATCAGTTAAAGAATACTATACAAAAAACCTTGGGTAAACACGAGAGCTATTTAAGTATGGCAGGTTCCCTCTTCAACAACTCTTTCCGAGCCAGAGTGTTACATTTGCAAGACATGACATTTAATGCTGCACCTCCATGAACAGCACGTGTCACGGATAAAATGCCACAAGAAAACACAAATAATTTTGTGAGAGCCAGAACTAACAAAGCCTGAGTCTGTAAGGATTTGTGGCTTTGAAAAACCAACTGTCTTTGCGAATAAATGCTCCATTTCCACACATACCCTGCAGAGAGTTTTGCCGGCAGCATGAGGGTTACTAGGCTTGATGAATTCACCAG